AACACAACAAATATCACCACCGAAGAATCATCATCATCAACCCCAATAAAAAAGAAAATATCAACCAGCCCACCATTCACGCAAGAAGAAACCACATTTCTCAACGAATTTATTGCATGCGTGGATAGACGACTCGCTGACAAGTTATCACGACAACGAGATATCGCCGAGGAAATACGTGCATTGTCTAATAACGAGTGCACAATTTCTCAGAGTACCGTATCGAAAATGATGCGACGGTTTACTGTTCCGCGGGATCAGGTGACGTATGCTGCTGTGCGTAATTGGATTGATGCGCAACCGCCGCCTGCAGAAATTAAACAGGAAAAGTGATTGTATTTTGAAGATTCAATATGTTAACAATAAGATTTGATTGTCCGAAAATTTTTCGACTATTTAAAGAAAATCATCTGGTCATCTTTGGAGTTTTTAAAACTAGATAAGTTTGAAGTGTGTATTTATATATATATATATACAAGTTAGTTATCGTCATCTTTATTATATACTGTAATTAATTCTGAATATATACACATATCATATGCATTTTTGAAGAAACATAAATATGACATGTGATATTATTGATTGAAGATGATTGGATCGAGCATTTCTGGTCAGAGGATTGGATCGCACGTGTGATACTACATGTATAACACTATGTAGAAAATAGAAAACAAATGCAAAACCGGCACTAATCCTGTTACAATGTTCAGTAACATGTATTACTGCGCGTATTCTCAACAAAGGCTTTTTTTCTAACGTAATTCATGCGGAAAATAACGCGCGCGCGTTAGTCAAATCAAATTTACAGCCCTCTCCCTTATATCTAATACATGTACAATATGTAGCATTTTGGCGCTTGTTTGCTATAACAATATTGACGCACTCAGCAAATAATACTGCGTCTATTACCTGTTTCATCTCCTGCATAATCTCTGTCTTTTTATTTGACGCACAAAATTCTTGTTCTATTTTGACGATCTAGAATCGTCCAACATCAAAAATTTTTACTCGCTCGTTTGAGGCTGTAACATGTAGCACTCATTTAATACATGTAGTATGCACAATGTACAATGTTACGGCGGCCGCGCAAAAGAATAGTATTTTCGTCCAAACTAGTGCTATCTTTTTAAAGCAGCTTTTTAAGAGGGACGATCATAATAATGTCTTGGCCACACATTACATTACATGGAGAAATCCCAACCCATTTATGTAGACTGTCAATGGAATGAATGGAACAATATGAAAAAAACTGCGGGTGTTTTTCCTTTCTTTTATTAGTATCACACCCGAATTTGGTCGATCATTTTAAATACATTTCATAGCGATAATTAATCACGATATTTCCTTCCGAATATTATGACAATGCTGCTGCTTCTGATTTCAACTTATCGTATTAAAATGTTCAATATTTTGATAATGACCACCTCATTACGTATATATACATGAAGGACCAACCCGCACTGCGCGTGCTTATATGATAAACATTACAATATTTTGCTTAATCATCTTAATCATTAATAATAAAAATAATTGATTCATGTGGGTAAAGGGACAAACGAGTTGTTAGAATATTATAGTTAGACGATGACCAAGTACAGATTAAACTCTGGGTAAGTCAAATGGTTTGACTAACGTGTGTGGTGTGTGTCTTGTTTGTTGTTGTATACTTGTATGCATAATTAATTAATTAAATAGGGCTGAGAAAGAACTCTAAAATCTTATTTTATATTTATTTTATAAATTAATCGAATAACTTCATCATTATCGTTTCTCACACATACTCTCTTTATTTTTTTCAGTTGCATATAAAAGACAGCGTCCGTCGTCCTGTTCGTATACACACCGTCGTTGTCTGAAACACAATAATATCATTTTTATATCATATCATTTTTTTTTGAATCTCAAAAATGGAATCTTTTCCTGAGCAATCAACAACAGCAGCACAAAGAATAATAATTCCTGACTCACCACAAACACCCAGCGGCTATACATTCGGCTTCAACAGTAACGATAACGACAACAATGAACAACTACAATCTCAAACGGCAGAAGAGGTGGTGGAAGCTGAGCAGTCAACAACAGCAGCACAAAGAGTAACAACAATTCCTGACTCACCATCAGCACCCGGCAACACATTCGTCTCCAGCAGTAACGACAATGAACAGTCTCAATCACCACCGACCTGCTGGTGTGGACTAAATGCGAACGTTAGTCAAGTACGAAAAATTGGAAAAAACACTGGTCGATATTTCTGGCGGTGCCCACGTTTCGGAACTGAAGAGGAAGAATGCAACTATTTTCGTTGGGTCGATGACAAACATCCATATCCCTTGTTGAAAAAACAAGCTGGATTAGGGAAAATGCCCACTTCCATTACAAATATTACAAATTTTTTTCAACCTCTTGATGGAACTTCGGCCGCCGCTTCAACATCTGCCGCTGCTTCGTTATTCGCTAGTGGCAGATCAAGTAGCATTAATACAGGTCAAAAACGTCAAGTGAAGTTTCCAGATTTTGGTACGTCTTCTTCCTTAATGGGCAATATGTCATTATCGTCATCAACCTCATCAAATATTCTTTCCTTACAAGAATTGTTTCAATTAAAAGCACAAGTAAATGATCCTTTACTACCCGATACACCATCACACGAATCACAAATTCCTTTTTCATCATTTAAAACCGTAACTCCTACTCGTTTACAAAAGGCACCAAGCACTCCTCCGACATCTCCAAATTACAACTCTGCGGCCACCGCGAACACAAACAATAGCACTACCACCACCACCACCACCACCACAACGTCTTCAGCCATAAACACGCTACAAGAACAAATATCAAAATTACCAGCACCCGAAATAATTGAACTTTTCTCCAGTCAAATGACTCGTCTAGAGAAATATGCAATCACGCAAGAACATGGGAATAAATTAGCATTGAACGAGATACAAAAGTGTCATCATGAACTGGAGAAATTGCGTCAAGAATTGGCATTGGCTAATCGTGAGAATGATGTGTTGAAACGCGAAAAAGCATTACTGAAGAGAGAGTTGGATGAAGTGACGAGGAGTGAGTCGGTTCGTGATGGAAAGAGAGCTCGACAATAATATTGTAAAATAAACAATTTTAATTTATTAATTAACATAAAAAATTATAAATTAATTACATTATTAATCATAAAAATTATAAAATTAATCATATCTATACTCTTTGAATTATAAACCCTTTTACTCTTTTTTGAAAACAAAAATAAAAAATTCTGTAGTAATCTTAGCTAGTCTATGGACTTTATTTTTTTTCTTTTACTTACCATTTTTCATTTGTCATTTTATATATTTATTAGCACGTTTTTTTTATTGTCTGTATTTCTTTATTATTCGTATATAATACTCTATTTTTACTGTATGATTAAATTATATGCACGTGCGAAAAAAAATTACGTATATGATATAAAAACGTATTTCATTCAAATTACGTAACTGTATGAATTCTGTAAATTTTTTAAGATATCGATATAACGATAATCACAAGTATCGGTATATGATTTTACGAAATTAGAAGTTACGTATGCAAAAAAACCAACCATATACACGTATTATTAATATAGCTAAATTATAAACGTAAATGTGAACTACGTATACATACTGTTTGCTTAATAAAAGGTTATGGAAATACTTATATGCTTCTCGTAATTCTTTTGAATCTTAGACAAAATTAACAGATTGCTGAGGCTTGATTTATTATTGTGATCCAGCAAATTCGGCTAAATTCTGAAGACTAGAAAAATATGCGCAATAATAGTATATCGATATTTATACGTTTTCAAATATAAACAAAATTCAAATACATATACCGTAAATCATCGCATAAACCACCCGGGGCAGGGACCCGGAAAAATTCTGATATATAGATATCGGTATAAAACGGAATTTTGAAACAAAACGGAATAAAATGGAATAAATCGGTATAAAAGGGAATCTTTATATCTACACATACATGTACTACAAAAATCGTTTTATAGATTATTGAATGATTATTCCTATTTCATTCGAACAAAAATTATCGTTATATTTATTTATTAAATTGCCTCCCAAGCAAAAACGAATGACTGCATATAGTCGTGCATAAGAGTTTTCGAAATATTTTCAATATGATTGTTCTTTATGCTAGATAATTTCTTGCACTACACGAAGTTTTTGCCAAGATAGAAGGGGTTAGATAATTATAATTCGCACTGTAAAGGAAGAGGCATTTTTTTAACGTTGATAATTTATGACATAATGTATGTATATTAACATGCAATTGATAATATTCATTACATGATTAATACTAATTTTATAAGATAAGCTTTAGATAATTGTGTTAATGTTATAATTCATTTATCACAGAATTGCCGTCATTCACTTAACATTTGGTTCATACATTAGTAAAGCTTATACAAATAAAATATTATTGCGACTCAAAAAAGAATACGTACTTATCAAACGGTTTGAAAAAAAACATTTACTATAATTATAATTGCTGTCTTCAATAACGTTTCATCATCGTATTTTTTCATCCCCGTATCTAGACTCATTGTAATTGGGGAGGTTACAGAAAGTTGATAGGTGCCAATTTTGTTGCAGAATCTTCAAAATTTCATATGTTAATAATGGTAGTAAACAAAGTGCTAATTGCAATTCCATTTAATGTGCATTGAATAAACACGTGAAGCATCGTAAAATTCATAAAATTTACTATATGATTAAGTCTAATTTTGCAATTAAATTTAATATACTATATTACAAAAAAGAAAATTTTAAATAAGCGACTATAATAGATAAGCAAACTATAAAAAATCTGAATTCTAATTTAAAATCTAAAAAGAGTGGAAAAAATTGATTCATCTTTATCAGTGACTCATGCAGTATATTTCAGCATTTATCATGCCTGTAATAATATACTAACATATAAAGTATATAAAGCAACTATCACTTTGAAAGTTTGTGACCATTTTCTGCAAGTTTTTTTTATAATATATGTATTGAAAGTGAGATACTGGAAGTGTTGATAAATATAATAGAACTTCAAATAGTTTGAAAATACTGTGATCAAGATAATTTTTTGGCCAACCCAATTTTTTAAGCTGGAAATTCTTCATTTTTTTTATTTTGTTCAGCAACCACTCATCTTATCATGGTCTCTTCAATATTAAGAACTGTAATAATATGCTTGTGTAGTATAAGGGTCTGATATTGGTTCTGGTATTGTCAAATATCAAAAAATATTAATGGATATTAAAAATTATTTATCATTTATTATTAATTAAGAAAGTTTGATCTCTATCCAAGTTATCTATATGAAAAAAAAGTTACATAAAATTTAAAAAAATTATAATTTGAAAGTTTCTTTATTTTTTATGTTATTTATATGCTTGTATAACTTATTTAGCAAGTTTTGTATTAGT